CGCGCAGCGCTCAAAATGAATTGGACTTTTTAACCAACCCGCTCACTTAGTTAATCGCACCACCGTTGAAGATCCTCAAGTTTCTATGGATGGCAATAAGTAGCTAGGTGCGGGCCCCAACTATCAGCGGAGATCCTGTGTGCCTACCGGCTTGTTTTTTTTATTCTCACTCAGTAAATAACCATTTATAGAAATTTTTATATGTGTAAAAATAATGGGTTACCAGACGGAGCCACCCAAATATCCGAATAGAAAACCGCTGTACACAATGAATATGCTTGATCAGGAAACTAAATACGTTTAGAAATATTTTAATGAAATTCACAGAATTAGCTGAGTTTTTGTTCCAATTGGACATGACTTGCAGCAACGACCCGATCGTATTGGTCCACCGCAATGGTGATTTTGTAATTAAAAGTGAAAACAAAACTTGATTTTTAAAATTTTTTGCATTTTCAGCTATAGTATGAGCTTACAAATTGTCTTTGTTTACTATAAGTGCACTTCCCTGCAAAACTACGAAGAAATTTCACAAATGCTGAACTTTTAGAAATTTTTTATCCTTATAATTGTGATCTGTGTTTGGACATCAAACAATATTTTTGTTCTGTTCTATGAGTTTTAAGGATTTCATTAAATTGCTCAATCTTTCATCTTCATGCAGTGTTAACATGGGATTCAACTATTCCAAATTTACAGATTTTAATTCTGATATGTCTAGTTTTGTAGTTCAGATTTTGTTTTTAAATTCAACGGTATTTTCTATGAAATATTATTGGTATATTTTGTATCGAAAACTACTTTCAGTTTGAGAAGTTCATAATTTCTCACTCAGTAGAGAACCATTTATAGATTTCATGGTTTATAAATTATTCTTGTCTCTTTATAGATCAAGGAGTTGGGGCTGTATGGAAACAAAAACATGGGAGTTGAAGGTTTATCATCAGTTGGACAAATACTTTCCAATCAATCCTGTGTTAAATACTTAAACCTTAACTACTGCAACCTGTCATCAGATCAACTACAAGCTTTCAAATCATCCTTGGGAAACACAGAGGTATAACACAATAATAATGACATGATTAACGTTTTAACAAGGGTTGGAGGAAGTTTTGATTTTTTTATATGTTATAGTTTTACACTTTCATAACCCAAAATTGGATTACATGGTGGAATTTATGAAAAACCTCTACAATTTTAAATTTATCTTTTTAATAATAGTTTCCAGGCCTGATTGTTTATTTGAAAATTTGTTTGAAAAACATAATAACCAATTCTTTCGATCAATTCGGTTCTGTTGAGTCTTGTTCTGTGATTGTGTGAAATACGCGAAATTGCCCTATATCAGTGGTTCCCGGATGGGGTCGCGAGCAGATTTTTCGGGGCGCCTAACTTTTTGTGAATGTACATTAATTCGCTTATATTTATCAATAATTTGAAATTAGTAAAGTGACGTTTTTAAAGGTCAGGTAGAGAATGCGATTTAGTGATTGGAACGTCAATGATATATCCACGTTTTCAGCTTTTTTATGCGTGTTGTTCAATTCGAAGTATTGTTGTCTTTGGCCCTGATCTGGCAACAGTCTTTACACGTGCGCTTGCAGGCTAAATAATTTATGTTTACGGTTGAATTCGGTTTCATAATAGCTTGAGTTTTAGGGAGAGATAGTTATTTAAGTTACCTTTAAGTTATGTCCACTACGCTTGATCATTGTATCGCGCTGATGCGTTGTTCCTCTGTCTATTACATATCAGTCTGCCGGTAACGTAACGTTGAAACGTACCGGTGTCGTAAATTGCATAACGATGGACAGATAGTCGGGGGATTGCTGGTAGATTTGCATCACCTGTTCAACTGACTGCAGGGAGAAAGAATTTCTTGATTTTGCCAAACCAAAAACATACGTATATAAGAATAAATAAGGATGTGAAGATTTGCTAATTTTCCAAAGCAGTTACTTACCGGTACATTTCAAATTAATATAAAACATAACTGAACCATTATCACAAATTCTTCACTAAAATGACATCCGGAAAGTCAAGAAAATTGGCTGTACTCACAACAAAACACAGAAATAGGTTGAGTGTAGAAGATGACATGCGGCTGTGCCTCAGTAACATTACACCATAGTCTCAAAAACTGACAAACGATGTACAGGCGCAGTCTTCTCATTAATATAATTGGAGCCACTGCCAGCTGCCGACAGACACCCAGAAATTACCTGTCATCCCATTGGCTCGTTTGTTTCCCGCGGTTACGTACAATGTGTCTGTACAGTCAGTTTGAGTCCCTAGCTAACTTCAGTGAGAAGACGATACGCGGAACAGTTAAACAAAAAAAAATTAAACTGAAAAATAAATGACCTAGAAGAGAAAAAAAAAAAAAAAACACAAAAGCCAAAAAAAAGTATATTCTAAGTTTGAAATTCATGTGCGTGTGCTCATTTCCGTATTATCGTCGCTCTCAACTGTCGACTTTTGTCGCTTCGTCTCATCTCCTTTAAAAGCTATACAACCGCTCTCCACGGTCTTTTCTTAGCCCAGCCTAGTCGACTGACACCAAAGATAAGCGAACCAACAGTTTATTGATTGTTATTCGTTATTTCTCTGTTCTTTCCATGAATATACCCTTTCTATTTATTATGCCGTAATCTAGTTCTAACATGTATTTGTTACGGTTTTTAACCATAATATGATTTATACAAATAGTATAGTAGTTTTGTGGGATCTTAGAACAGATTAGGGCATTTACAGGTAAAATGTGTCCCTACCTACGAAGGGATTTAGGAACGAATCAACTTCGTAAGTATGGTTTCTAATGCTTTTCTTGTTGCGGGGTCGCGAGTATCTGTAAGTGTTGATTTTACGAAAATTGGGGTCGCGAAAAAAAAAGGTTGGGAACCACTTCCCTATATCATACTCAATTTTTTTCTGATGATTTTCCAAGTTTAATTGATTGAAAGAAAATTTTAGAACCAAATTAGCAAAGTATTCTTTTCTTGAGTACTTATCATTAAATATATTTTTTGAGAAAAATGTACTATATGACTCTTATCAACACCATTCACTCTAAATTAGGCCCTGTACAACTGTTCACTGATATCTGTTAAAAAGGAAGAAGGAAATAGTATTTCCTCCTAACAGATATCAGTAAACAATTGTACATAGCCTGGTTTGGAGTGAACGGCATTGAAAAGAGTCATATAACACATTTTTCTGAAAATTTGAATGCAATTCAGATTGAAATTTGGGACAGAAGGTAACAGATTTCAAACATTAAATGATGAATGATAACAATTCTAAAAAGCTACTTATTTCCAACATTGAAGGTTGGACAACAAAAGCATTTCTGTTTTTGAAATATTACCGTAATATGACTATGTTGTTCTGAGTTAAAAATAATTTTACAATTTTGTTTATTGTTATTTATTTTGTTTATGACGAGAGAAAATACATTTTCCAAGTTCAATATTTTCGGTTAACAGAATAAGAGCCAGATACAAATCTATGGTCACTCACTCAAACAGAGGACCATGATACTTTTCTCTATTGAAGCAGCATTCCATTAGCTCCTTGTAATAATAATTTTGAAATAGGCCGTGTTAATATCATAGTAATATTTTAATGTAGTTTTCTGCTTTGTGAGTATTAAGGATTTCATGAAGCTCAAACTTCCGATCTATTTGACACCATGGGTCAGAATTCTCAGTGTTTGAGTGGCTCACTCAATATATATCGATTCTGATATGTCTACTTTTGTAGTTTGATTTATGTTTTCAAATTCAATGGTAAGGTCTAGAACAGGGTGGTCCAAGGTTGTCGGCTCCAGAGGCCACAAAATTGATTAGTCACGTTGATCAGTATTTGTCATTTATCAAGCTAAAACATGCAAGGACCACCAAAAAACTTACTAAAACCAGCAAAAGGCTTTCTATATCTACGTTTAGTGTAAGATTTCAAACTCTTCATAACGGAAAAAGTGTTTCCACAAATGTACCGGTGAGTGCTTTTGAACAGCTATAGGATTTTTAAAGCAGAATCTTAACTTTGGAAATGCTCATTGCTCACAAGATTCTGAAATGCTGTTTTAAATTACCGTATATTCTTTTGTCACCGACAAAACTTGCCGACATATCAAGCAAGCATTGTGGTACCCCCCCTCCCCCCACATTCAGTTAAAATATGTTTGAATTCATCAATTTGCAAAATAACTTACAAATAAATAACTGCAGATTGATTGATTACCAAATGTGAGGTACAGGAGGGTAATCACTAAATGTTCTGACATATAGGCAGCATTTTTTGTAATACTGTTCGGGCGGGCTGCAAAAAACATCCGGCATGAATTATATTGTAAGTCCATGACATTAATATTAGTTATCAGACATAGCCAATCAAGTTAATTCGATTTTTAGTTTTCTATGATACTAAAATTGTTATCATATATTCGTGACCAAAAAAGATAGAAATCCAGAGAACAATTTAGACTGCCAAGCACATCATTCAACTTTGCCAGTCGCCTAAGAACACTGTTCAATTCAGTGACATTGTTGATATAACAATATGCCAAAAGATTTTTCTGGTTAATTCTATGACGAAACAACACCAAATGCGATTTTTGATTACCATCTGACCCGCGGGCCTGGGTTTGGACCACCCTGGTCTAGAATATTACTAGAATATCGTGAATCGAAACCTAGAAATTCCACGAAAAACCACTTCCAGTTTTTAAATGTTCATAATGGATCTCCGCTCTAGGAGACCCTTTTATTATCAGTCGTTCTGTCTGTGTATCTGTCTGGACCAATCGGGATGAAATTTCTCACGTGGGTTATCATGTCACCCTAGTATTGTGCGTTTCATAGAAAGTCCGGATGGACGTTTCGTTTCCATGACAATGACGAATAACGCGCCGATCGTTGAGAAATTTCCATTTTTTTCTCAACTTATCGCCAATCAATTGTTAACTAAGTTGAAATTTGAAATTTCAAGAACGCTACCTTCTGCACAGTAAAATACGCTTTCCAATAAATCGTCGTTGGTCTCGGTACTCCATAAACTCGAGAAGCCTTAGGGATTTTAATGAACTGATTCTTTTCAATTTTTAGTCACCGCATATCAGTCACGTAAGTATTTCTACAAAACGCGCAGGGCTAAAAATGAATTGGACTTTTCAACCTACCCGCTCACTTAGTTAATCGCGCCACCGTTAAAGATCCTCAAGTTTCTATGGATGGCAATAAGTAGCTAGGTGCGGGCCCCAACTATCAGCGGAGATCCTGGGTGCCTACCGGCTTGTTTTTTTTTTATTTCTCACTCAGTAAAGAACCATTTATAGAAATTTTTATATGTGTTAAATAATTAGATGGTTACCAGACGGAGCCACCCAAATTTCCAAATAGAAAACCTCCGTACACAATGAATATGCTTGATCAGGAACTAAGACGTTTTTAGAAATATTTTCAATGAAACTTCACAGAATTAGCTGAGTTTTTGTCCAATTGACATGGCTTGCAGCAACGACCCGATCGCTATTTCACCCAATGGTGATTTTTGTATTAAAGTGAAAAAACAAAACTTGATTTTCAAACATTTTGTATTTTAAGCTATAGTATGAGCTTACAATTTTTCTTTGTTTACTACAAGTGCACTTCCCTCCATTTTCGCAAATGCCAAACTTTTTAGGAATTTTTCATCTCATAGTGAGCAAAGGCAGGTCAAAACATTTTTTGACTTTTGAAATTTGAAATTCATACCTGCAAGTGTGACTGTTTTGATATCATAACAAAATTAATTTTTGTTCTGTTCTATGAGTTTTGAGGATTTCATAATTGCTCAATCATTCATTCATCGTGCAGTTGTCAAAATGGGATTCAACTATTCCGAATTTACAGATTTTAATTCTGATACCTATGTCTAGTTTTGTAGTTCAGATTTTGTTTTAAATTCAACGGTATTTTCTATGAAATATTAATGGTATATATTGCATCAAAAACTACTTTCAGTTTGAGAAGGTTCATGATTTTTTCTTTCTCACTCAGTAAAGAACCATTTATAGATTTTATGGTTTATAAATTATTCTCGTCTCTTCATAGATCATGAAGTTGAGGCTGAGTCAAAACAGAAACATGGGAGTTGAAGGTTTGTCAACAGTTGGACAAATACTTTCCAATCAATCCTGTGTTGAAGAGTTGAGCCTTATTGGCTGCAACCTGTCATCAGATCAACTACAAGCTTTCAAATCATCCTTGGGAAACACAGAGGTATAACACAATAATAATGACATAATTAACGTTTTAACAAGGGTTGGAGGAAATTTTGATTTTTTAATATGTTATAGTTTTACACTTTCATAACCCAAAATTGGATTACATGGTGGAATTTATGAAAAACCTCTACAATTTTAAATTTATCTTTTTAATAATAGTTCCCAGGCCTGAATTTTTATTTGAAAATTTGTTTGAAAAACATAATAACCAATTCTTTTGATCAATTCGGTTCTGTTGAGTCTTGTTCTGTGATTGTGTGAAATACGCGAAATTGCCCTATATCAGTGGTTCCCGGATGGGGTCGCGAGCAGATTTTTCGGGGCGCCTAACTTCTTGTGAATGTACATTAATTCGCTTATATTTATCAATAATTTGAAATTAGTAAAGTGACGTTTTTAAAGGTCAGGTAGAGAATGCGATTTAGTGATTGGAACGTCAATGATATATCCACGTTTTCAGCTTTTTTATGCGTGTTGTTCAATTCGAAGTATTGTTGTCTTTGGCCCTGATCTGGCAACAGTCTTTACACGTGCGCTTGCAGGCTAAATAATTTATGTTTTCGGTTGAATTCGGTTTCATAATAGCTTGAGTTTTAGGGAGAGATAGTTATTTAAGTTATCTTTAAGTTATGTCCACTACGCTTGATCATTGTATCGCGCTGATGCGTTGTTCCGGTGTCTATTACATATCAGTCTTGCCCGAACGTAACGTTGAAACGTACCGGTGTCGTAAATTGCATAATGATGGATAGATAGTCGGGGGATTGCTGGTAGATTTGCATCATCTGTTCAACTGACTGCAGGGAGAATGAATTTCTTGATTTTGCCAAACCAAAAACATACGTATATAAGAATAAATAAGGATGTGAAGATTTGCTAATTTTCCAAAGCAGTTACTTACCGGTACATTTCAAATTAATATAAAACATAACTGAACCATTATCACCAATTCTTCACTAAAATGACATCCGGAAATTTAAGAAAATTGGCTGTACTTAAAACAAATCACAGAAATAGGTTGAGTGTAGAAGATGACATCGGCTGTGCCTCAGTAACATTACACCATAGTCTCAAAAACTGACAAACGATGTACAGGCGCAGTCTTCTCATTAATATAATTACACCCAGTAATTACCTGTCATTCCATTGGCTCGTTTGTTTCCCGCGGTTACGTACAATGTGTCTGAACAGTCAGTTTGAGTCCCTAGCTAACTTCAGTGAGAAGACGATACGCGGAACAGTTAAAAAAAAGAAAATTAAACTGAAGAATAAATGACCTAGAAAAGAAAAACAAAACAAAAAAACAAAAAAAAACCCAGAAAAGTTAAAAAAAAGTATATTCTAAGTTTGAAATTCATGTGCATGTGCTCATTTCCGTATTACGGTCGCTCTCAACTGTCGACTTTTGTCGCTTCGTCTCACCTCCTTCGAAAGCTATACTCCCGCTCTCCACGGTCTTTTCTTAGCCTAGCCTAGTCGACTAACGCCAAAGATAAGCGAACAAACAGTTTATTGTTTTTATTCGTTATTTCTCTGTTCTTTCCATGAATATACCCTTTCTATTTATGATGCCGTAATCTAGTTCTAACATGTATTAGTTACGGTTTTTAACCATAATATGATTTATACAAATAGTATAGTAGTTTTGTGGGATCTTAGAACAGATTAGGGCATTTACAGGTAAAATGTGTCCCTACCTACGAAGGGATTTAGGAACGAATCAACTTCGTAGGTATGGTTTCTAATGCTTTTCTTGTTGCGGGGTAGCGAGTATCTGTAAGTGTTGATTTTACGAAAATTGGGGTTGCGAAAAAAAAGGTTGGGAACCACTTCCCTAAATCATACTCAACTTTTTTCTGATGATTTTCCAAGTTTAATTGATTGAAAGAAAATTTTAGAACCAAATTAGCAAAGTATTCTTTTCTTGAGTACTTATCATTATATATATTTTTTGAGAAAAATGTACTATATGACTCTTATCAACACCATTCACTCCAAATTAGGCCTTGTACAACTGTTCACTGATATCTCTTAAAAATGGAGAAGGAAATAGGAAATAGTATTTCCTTCTAACAGATATCAGTGAACAATTGTACATAACCTGGTTTGGAGTGAACGGCATTGAAAAGAGTCATATAACACATTTTTCTGAAAATTTGACTGCAATTCAGATTGAAATTTGGGACAGAAGGTGACATCTTTCAAACATTAAATGATGAATGATAACAATTCTAAAAAGCTACTCATTTCCAACATTGAAGGTTGGACAACAAAAGCATTTCTGTTTTGAAATATTACCGTAATATGACTATGTTGCTCTGAGTTAAAAATAATTTTACAATTTTGTTCATTGATTCCAAATGCTACCAAGATATGAAATACAATCGGTTTGATCAAAAAAATTGTCACTTGACTGAAACATTGAATTTTAATATCTATTTATCCTCACTTGATAAAAACTTCTGGCACCAGGCTATATATTCAAAGTTACATGGGTGGGTCAACTTTCTAAATGCGGATTTTTACCAAGTTTGTCAAATTTGAATATGAATTTCACTATGTTGTGTATTAATGCCAATTGCTACCACTTCATTAAATGCAATTATTCTGACCTACAACCCCAAGGCCATTCAGAGTTAGGTCAGCATTTTATGATGTATCACTGTCGTCAAATTTAATATTAAAAACAGTAGGCCTATAAGATGCAAAAAGATAAATTTTATAATTATCAATGAACTATTAGAAATTTTTATATGTGTTATTATAATTAGATAGTTACCTGACGGAGCCACCCAAATTTCCGAATAGAAAACCGAATTTCCGAATAGCAAAATATAAAAACTCATGCTCTCCTCTTATCAATCTGCTGTTGCCACATCTCCCAGTTAATGTCGTGTTGGTATTCCATTTTTTCGCCATTTTCAGCTAAACAATTGACCAGATTCATAACTATTGAGTCGTAAGTACCTGGAATAGTCGTTCTATGTGATTTGTGACTTTTTAAATCTCATTCTATAATTACCGTAGTTTTATAGTGTATTTCTCTGCTAATTGGTACCATTGCATGGACATATTCCATGGGATAGATAGGAGTGTTCTGAGGATATCACCCATATATTATTGGGTGCAGTATGACATTCAAAACAATAATTTCCAGGCCATACATGTACAATAAACCTTGATCTCAAATCAGTTAGTTAGTCCTTTTATGCTAAGTTGTTAATAAATGTTATATTTTGTGCATTACAACTACCTTTAACATGAATGGTTACACCTCTACACTATTCCCAATTGTTGTTAAACATTCCATTGACTGCTTGTTGCGGAACCCCTGAATAACTGTTTCATATTATAGTCTTTATAGTTACTCGCATGTCGTTGAATATTCAATTCACTGGTTAGAATCATTAATCTTAATAATTTCACACAGAGTTATGGTACTCATCTTTTACTCATATTCTGTGTAATATGAATTATATGGGTTTGGCAAAACTATGATGAATATGACTGTTATATATTTTATCCATGTCTGATTATTCTTTGTATTTGTTTATTTAAGCAGATTGATCAGTTGGATCTGGATGAAAATCGTACTGCACACCATGAAGATATTGTTGCAGTTGCAAATCTGCTACCTAATGTTACAAAGGAGTTATCATTTCAACTATGGAAAATAGCAGATGAAGATAAAGAAATATTACAAAATCAATTGGATGAAATTGGATCTGAGGTTTGAAATTCTTTCTGCGATAATCTAAATATAAAATATGGGACAGACATAAAATCAACGATTTGCGTAAAAACTGAAAAAAAAAACTGCAAGTCTAAATTGTTCACGCTGAACTGAACACTTCAAAGTTTCATCGAAGTGTACCGGTATGTTATTTCCATTGGTGTCGTTTCGATTCTTTAAAGGGGTCGTTAAAATATAATGTCTTCGCAGTCAATGTGATTGTGTTGTACATATTCTATATTAGTGCTAATCTTGTATAAAAAATTCTTAGTGCTAATCTTGTATAAAAACTTTATTAATTACAGGTACTAGAGATTCGGTTTTTTGAAAGTACACTCAAAAGTCAAAGCAAGTCAGCAGATGCTACAACTAATGTTTTTTCTAAACAACTTCCGACCACAACTTCAAAAGCTGAATTTGGTAAGTTATAAATATGTTTTTTAAATTGAGTGGTGCTATGGTATGATGAGTACGTAATGATCATCAAGTATTTTAGTTATGGTCATCAAGTATTTTTAATTTTTTGGGGGGTTTAATGTTGAATGAATATACTTTCATTGCTGCTGAAACTGGCATATCATTCAACAGCATCTTGCAACATGTTATATAGCCTATTGTGATTCTTTGAACAGATTCTGTATTTTTATTGTTTATTATAAATATGGAAAAATCGAAGAATATTTTTAGTGTGATATGATTGAATATAAATCTAGGATATTCAAAATTAATTTTATGGAAAAATATAAATTGTTTCAAGTTGTTACATTTGGTTGCAGAGCATTATTATGGATGGATGCTTGGCATACCAATCTGATTATCTTGCTCCGTTCACAGTTTCGGATCCTGGGGATAATTAAGCGCGAGAGGTTTTCTGAATTTCATGTCGTCAAATAGTGGTTCATGTGCCCACTGGTTGATTGAGCTTCCTTCACCATCAAGTCCATGCATCTGAAACAATTAACTGGCTAATTAATCCCATTCCCAACCATGCATTGGTAACCGGATGAGGGGCCATGGTTTACTGTATAAGCCGCATTATTGATTTATCTTTTCTCCGGGTAAAATAGGAAATTCTATCATAATTTCTGATAAACGATGTTACATAGCTCAAAACAGAGTATTAAATACGATTATTTTTTGATAATTATTTATTGTTCTTTTTCAGTATCACCATATGACAGTTTTGAGAATACTGGAAAAAATGTTGAGACTTTACAAGAAGTAGAAAGCCCCAGGTTAGATATAACAGTACTTTAACTTAGTGTGGTATATAATGCTCACCTATATTTCAATTGTCAAGGATATGTGTGGCCTAGTACAGCGGTTCCCGAACCTTCATGTTCGTACGGCGCTAAATAATCAGGCAAATAATTACGGTACACGTACATGGAACTTGCTGCCTTTGGATAAAACTGAATTTTGTGATCGTTAATGTGCATTTTATGCTTTTTAAAGTTTGTCAATATGTGCGACTCAAGAAAAGGGAATGCCATTAACCTTTCACAGCGGCTAAGCTCATATGAGAGAATATTTACGCTTAATTTTGTGCTCGGTAAACTACTGTTAATATCGCTCTTAGCTCTTTGTTGACGTTATCGCCTGATATGAGAGAAGCGATAGAACCTTCCAGCCGTGACGCAAAGTGCGAATGCTATAAATAGCGTGGATTTCAAAATCGCCTGTCAGACGTCTGAAAATGTCGACCCAGCTCAGACAGGAAATACTCCTTTATAATGACTTATTGTTGGTTTAGCATGTATTTTCAGTCATATATACTATCCCTGACCATCCCTGGCGCTGTGTTGTTTTGATAGATATGATTTCGACTGCTCCATAGTTGGCAGAAGTATGGAGATTTTTTGTAGTTAAAAAAACGTAAAATTAATGGTAATTTTAACGCATAAATGCGCGTATGGGATTGTTTACGCCGTTCTACGCGCATTTCCGTCGAAAAAATTTAATTTTTTTGCGTTGGGAGTGGTCTGTGCAGTAATAATAAGAGCTGTGACGTCATCAAAATCAGTAATTTTAGCCTTGAACTTGATACACCTGTAAATACAATTGTGAATTTCAGAGTAATAACCATTTATGCTATAATAGGCGTTTCGGTGATGTTGTATTAGGAAAAACTTGACGAAAACGTTGAAAAAAAAATAAATTAATTAGGAATTAATTAATAACCCTCTACTGTACACAGAATTTCTCAAAGTCCAATTTATTTTTAGAAATTTTTGAGATATTTTTGCAAAAAAATTTTTTTTTTGGAGTGTAATTTAAAGATATATTGCTGAATAGAACTCTAGCACACGCTTTTAAAAATCCACAAGAAAAGCTCTAGGGCTTGGTGGTTGACAAAAAAAATAACTTTAAAAAGACCATGTCAAAAAAATTGGGTCAACAGCTGGAAGAGAGTTAAAAACGTTCACACTTATTTATTTAATGAGAGGTGTGCGGCAGTTGCTCTGAACACATCTTTTCAAAGCGAGATGTTATACTTGTTATGCACATGCATTTCTCTCTCATGTCCAAACGTAACGGGTATTTTGTTTTGATTGACACCACTGCTGAGAACCCAGCTTTGCAGAGGTAGGAGGTTTCACTTGTGGCCATTCCAAACAGGTGCTTGAACAAAATTCATATAAGTAATTAAAATCTTATGTCAAGTTGACAAATTGCTCAGCTTTGCTTGTTGATAAGCATATATCTTCATATACACATCATTTAAAATGAGAAATAATAAAACATTTATAATAAATACAATATGTAAAAAAATCCAATTATATATCAGCTATGTTTAACACAATTCTGTTAATTTTCGCATCTGGCCCAGTGGTCAAAGTGTTGAACTTATTATCTATCACAGGTTAGAAATCTTTGATTTAAAGCCCATGCTCACCAGCTTACCTGACGCACAATCTTTAACACTGTGGGTGAGGGGAGAAGGGTTTTGAAATCGAGTAATAGGGGCTGTTATTTTACCCAATGGATCAAAATTAATACATTCGCATTCTCTCATTTTATCTTCAGAAGTGAACTCCCACTGTCTGAAGAAGAAGCAGAACAATCAGATAAAGAAGTAACGGAAGAACTTGCAAAGCCAACTCAGCATAGTAAGTCAGCCGTATTAATAGAATCAGATGGTGTTGTGCTGAGTTAAATGCTTGTAATTATGAGGAAGTGCTGAACCATTGAGATGTTGGAATAATACAGGGGATGTGCAACATTTTTTGCCGGTGGGCCATATAACCAACTTCAGACATCTAGCTGGGCCAGACAGAAAAATTTAGTTTTTCCATAAACATAAAATATTGAAAAATTTCCACAATAAAGAATCCCATTTATGTAACAGTTTAGTGGGACATTGGAAATTTCAAGTTCTTGCATAGTTTGTTAAGATCAGCTTCATCAGAACTGTCAACATAAACAGTCGAATTGGGATTTCATTCTGGGGGGCACACTGAATAGCTTGGCGAAACGTTTATGGCCCACGAGCCACCTGTTGCACAACCTGAAATAATAGAATCTGTCTTCAACCAAATTTTCACACAAATAGTAAGGTTTGGCAAATCAACTGCTAAACTGGTCAAATATAACCCACTCAGCTCCAAACTACAAGGAAATCAAATTTGATTATAATTAATTGTCGTGTGCATGCCTTTTTAATACACTGTTGGGAACGCTTGGTCCACTTCATGTTTTTGAGTTTCGGTAAAAAATTCATAAAAGTCTAAAATTACCGTATTACCCAGATAATTTAACATTCCAACTTCTACTCCTGACTTTGAGTTTGAAAATACCATTTCAGCTCCAATTCCAATGAAAACATTTCATCCTGCTTTTTAGCATATATCGCTAACTGAGTCTTAGATTTTCTATTAGTTGCCACATGAATCTTTGTATTTCACTTTTGCTTGAAAAGTCATTCACAGTTGTTTATTTATAAGCCTGCTTTATTGATTCAAAAATATCTGAATTGCTACTCACTACTATTTTATATTCGATTTTGTATGAATTGCCCAGAAATAATTTTAAGTTCACAGGTTATATTGAAAATGTTTTTTATTGAAGTATGCTAAGTCGAAATATTCATTTAT